ATCCAACTCGAAACACCATGTTAAAACTCAAAACAGATTCAACCTACTCTCTGACAACGAAAACGAAGACATGGATGCCAACTCCTCTAGCGATGAGAGCACCAGAAACCAAACCAACGACAAAGAAAAAGAAAAAAAAATTCCAAGGGTAACAACACCAAACAAAATAATAAAAGAAACAAAACATCAAAAAAAAGACAGAGTCCCACCAATAGTGGTCACCACACAAGTCAACAACTTTAGCGGATTCATCAAAGCAATAAGAGATCTAGCCAACGGCGAAGCCATTTTCCAACATACCAAGGACGGCTTAAAAATCTTCCTTGAGAGCAAGGCAAGCTATAACCTGATTCAGGCGACACTAAAAGAAAAAAACTACTCGTACTACACGTACACAAACGAAAGTGAAAAAATCAAACACTTAGTAATCAAGGGCCTTCCTAGCATGGATACTAAAGAAATCCAAGACGACCTAAATAACAAAGGTTATGGCTGCACAAGAATAGCCATGATGAAGCAGAAAGCGCCGCCACCATATATAGCTCCACTATACATGGCCTCTTTCTACGGAGGTACCGACATCAGCGAAGTAAAACGAATAAAGCACATCTGCTACACAAGAGTGTACTGGGAAAAATACAAAAATTCCAAAGGAGCGACCCAGTGCCATCGCTGCCAAAGGTTTGGCCACGGCTCTCAAAACTGTAACAATCCTCCTAGATGTGTAAAATGCGACCAAAAGCACATAACAGCCGAATGCAAGAAAGACAAAGAAACAAAACCTCATTGTGTTAACTGTGGAGAAGAACATCGAGCTAATAGTAGGTTATGTAAAGTGTATCAAGACAGGATTACGACAATTAAAAACAACAGGAATAAGCAAAGAACACAAAATACAACAAAAAAGGCCCCCGAGCCACCCAGCAACAACCACATTAATTTTCCTACATTGGCCGGAAAAACCGCAACCACACATACAGCCTGGAACAAACAAACAGAAATTGATGTCGAAACAATACAGGAACTTTCTTCAGATCTTGATAAAATCCTAAGACTCATAAAAGCAGTGCAAAATCTCAAACAACGCTTTAACCTAGACGCTATGACCGTAGCCATCGAAAAATTCACATCTGATGCAGAACAGCTGCATAACACCTTACAGCATGAACATGAAAAGTAAAAATTTTTCCATAAATCGAATTACCATATCACATTGGAACGCAAATAGCATCCAAGAAAAACTCACTGAGCTCAAAGAATTCATTCAAGATCACGAAATAGACATTATGATAGTGAGTGAAACAAAGTTCAACCGAAATGAAAAGAAAGCGTCAACCTGCAGCATACCAGGATATGACATATACCGCAAAGACAGGACGAGCACCACAACCGGAGGCGGAGTCATGATATGCGTCAAAAAGGACATCAACGTAACCGAGGTACCCATAAATACACTCAACCTGGAAGCTGTGGGAGTGCAGCTAGACAATCGTACAGTGATTGTGGCTGCCTACCTGCCACCAAAATCCAAACTCCTGGAAGACGAACTCGATCAAATCTTCAGGCTGTCCTCATCGGTCATCATCGCCGGCGACTTCAACTGTAAACATGCAGACTGGAACTGCGAAAGGTCCAATCCAAACGGAAACAAGCTCCAGGACTACATCATCAAAAATTCGTACGTATTACTGTTCCCCGATGGTCACACACACTTTCCTGATAATGATTACTTGCCTAGCACGATAGATCTAACGCTAATTAAAACCGAAAATTTTTCATATGATATAGAAGTCCTTAACGAACTTAACTCTAACCATCTACCGGTGCTGGTCAATATAAATTTCAAAGTCAAATATAGTAAAACAAAATCGAGTTATCTAAATTATAAAAAAGCTGATTGGCGAAAATTTCGTGAATTATTAAGTAATAGCATTAACTTAAATTGTAAACCAGCGAGCATAGAGGATATCGATATGTGCGTCAAAAAGCTAACAGATGACGTCAAGTGGGCCATGGAGAAGTCGATACCCAGAAATTATGAAAATTTTAATGTAAATAACATAGATCCAGAAACGAAAAATCTAATTAAACAAAGAAATAGTTTAAGAAAACAATTCAATAAGGCCAAAAACTTAGACGAAAAAAAACAAATTAAATATTCTAGAAATCAACTTGCAAAGCTTATTACTGAAAAAATTAAAAATAGAAATAATAAAAACTGGGATAATAAACTAACAACACTCAAAGTCCAAGACAACACACTATGGAAAATGACAAAATATTTTACAAAAAAAAGAGATTCAAAAATTCCACCACTTCATGGCCCACAAGGACTAGTCTTCAGCTCCCAAGGGAAAGCGGATGTACTCGCGCGGCAATTCGAAAGGGTACATCACCTAACCGATCACTTCGGCACAGAAAACTTCGATGATTTTGTCAAAAATAACGTAACCAACATTGTAAATAGCGACGTAGATACCGACACCATAGAGCTTGTCTCCTACGGTGAAATAATTAAAGCTATCAAAAATACAAGACCAAAAAAGGCCCCAGGAGAGGACGGGATCCAAAATATAATATTAAAAAACTTTCCTCGCAAAGCAATCGTGTGTCTAATATATATTTTTAATAGCTGTCTTAAACATTCATATTTTCCGAAAGCGTGGAAAAATGCTAACATATTGGCCTTTCCTAAACCTGGAAAAGAAAAAAATTTTCCCCAAAATTACAGGCCTATTAGCCTCCTGTGCACTCACAGCAAAATCTTTGAAACAATAATACTAAATAGAATTCGTAGCTTTGAAGCAAAAAATAAAAACATAATAAAAGAACAATTTGGATTCAAACACCATCATAGTACAATACAACAACTCGCTAGAATTACAAATGAAATCTCAACAAATTATAATCTAAACAGATCAACTGCCATGCTCCTTTTAGATATCGAAAAAGCTTTTGACACCGTGTGGCATGAAGGTTTGATATTCAAACTTAACAAGGTCGGCATACCATTATGTATAAATAAAGTTCTTTATTCGTATCTTAAAAATCGCACCTTTACAGTCTCAGTCAAAAATCATAATTCTAGTTTACAAAACATACATGCTGGAGTCCCACAGGGGTCTATCCTAGGACCAATACTCTTTTTATATTACATTAATAACATACCGAAGCATACAAATACAAGCCTAGCATTATTTGCAGATGATACAGCGATCCTGGCCTCCTCCTGGTCAAAAAAGAAAGCAATTGAATATATACAAAGGCATATAACCATTATGCGTAAATACTTCGAAAAATGGAAAATAAAAATTAACGATAAAAAAACCGAACTAATTATATTCAGCAAACGCAAAGATAAGCCATGCGATAAAAATGCTTACATAGACATGAATGGAACTAAAATCAAACCTACCACGCAAGTGAAATACCTAGGAGTAACACTAGACAAGGGTCTTACATTTACAAAACATATCCAAAATATCCGAAAAAAAGGACAAGCAGCATCAGCGCTCTTACACAACCTACTTAATAGGAAAAGCAAAATGTCAATTAAAAATAAGTTATTAATTTACAAAGTGATTATACGACCTGTGCTATTGTACGCCTCACCGGTGTGGAGCAATACTTGTGAAAGCAACTATTATAAACTAGAAATAATCCAAAACAAAATACTAAGGAAAATAATTAATGCCGAACCCAGAACTAGCAATAAAAAAATTAGGAATCAACTCAGAATAAAGACAATCAAAGAAATAGTACTTGATCACACCAATAAATTTTACAAATATCAGTTGCACAAGGCAGACGCCCTCGCAGACTTTAAATTTTATAACAAAGAAAATGCACCATTTAAAATTAAACACAAACTACCCTACCATTTGCTGCGCAGTGACCATCAGGAGCAGCAATACGCTAGTCAGTAAGTTCTCTTGTTACCTAGTTTTAAGCTCTAGTAAGTAAGGCCAAACAAAATTAATGTGTTTTTTACCAAATCCTTTTTCACAAAACCCACAAACCATAATAAGTAACATTCATATATCGTTCATAATTCATAAAATCAAAAACAAAATATTAACTTAGAGTAAAAGCGCCAACAGCTGAACCTAAAACTAACACAAAAATTACAATACAGCATACTAATCACCAAGTGAAATTATGTATATACTCTGTAATCAAAAGTAATAAATAAAGAGATTTTTAAAAGTAAAAGTAAAAAAATTCGTGAGCACTGCGAACTGCGAGTGCGAGACGAGAGAGTAACGTAACTGTTACTCAATGCCTACTCAGTAACACACCACAGAGATAATGTAATCTCTATGAGTAACACGCGTATAAGATAGTATATATATTCAAGTGACAAGTTCCTCAAAAAAACTTGAGAGTTATGAATACAAAAAGTTTAGTAATTTAACATGGAACAGTCGGTAAACATCACGTGATTATTGAAATTTATAATAATTTTGCCCGGGATTTCAGTAAAAATTATTAGTTATTAGTTAAATTACCGTTCGTATTGCGGGACAACAATCTATTCACAATTAACACGGAAAATAATGTACATTCCGAAAGTCTAAAAAAATCAAGCGATTGCAGTGGCTCAAAGTATTAATCAACCATGGGTTGTATAAAAATAATGTTACCCTCCTCATTTCACATGTATTGCATTTTCTTAATATCTGTTCCACTTTTTTTGCGGATTTGATCATATAGAGTAATTCCATTTACTTCGTGCTGTTCGTGTATACTTAATAGGTAGTGTACTTATACGTGCATATATTCAACTTCGCTTCAAAAATATAAGCAATTGTAATCGCAATTGTCATATGTCATGAATCATACATGATGTATGCATGCATACCACCTATATATTGTATACACACACACAATGTATGAATGTGTGTACTGTAACATATAATAATCGACGAGTTGGCCTTGGCAACAACGTACTGTTGCGATTTATACTTAAGTACTCGTCTCACCAAGATGCCAGTGTAAACTACGGAGTGGTTTTTCTCTTGTTGCCCTTGTTGGTACCTATATACGGAAAGACGCGTAGAGACGCCATTTTTCTGTACTTTGTATTGATCATAATTTATAAGAGAACAAAGAGAAACAAAACTGGTTGTTGATTGTTCGTGCAGGTGAGTTTTTTTGTCATCGACATTTTTCCGACTATAAGTATATACCGAAATATTAATTTTTGCAGTTTTGAAACAACCCTTTTTTTTTTCTTCTCATTTTCCTTATACAAGCAAATATTCTCATTTTCTTGGTTATTTACAAAAACAAGTTAAATATGAAAACTGATAATAAAAAATACCATAGAGTCCAGATTTGAGATTATGATAATGTTTATCTTCTTAGAAATTATTATTTTATAAAATTTTTCTGTGAAGGTAAAAGTAAAAATTATGTTTTATTTCATCATTAAGTATAACTACAGTAAGTCCTCTTCTTCAAAAATAAGTAATGATTCAAAGAAATTTTTATCAGTTTTACTTAAAAATGGTTATGTTGCAATTAATCATAGTATGTAGCAGTTAAAATCAGTTAATTTGTTTCTTAACTTTCCATGATGTTATTCACGACGAAAATAATAAAAAAATAACTCACGAGATTAATATAACAATAAAAAAATATCACAGCTCAATTACAGCTGAATGCGAGTCGAAATGGACCTGAACGTGCCTGCTCGTTTTGATCCAAAGAAAAATCAAGTAGCAAAAGATTGGAAGGTATGGAAGAAACAATTCTTGACTTATCTGAGGCTGTCGAGTGGTTATACCACTCTGTCCGAGGAAAAAAAAGCCTACTTGCTCCTAAATTTGATGGGCCCGAAAGCAGTGGAAGCTATGGAAAATATGACCTTTGAAAATCCGAACGACAGAGAAGACATGAATATTTTACTCTCAAAGTTCGACGAAGTTTTCGATCCTCTCCCCAATGAGATAGAAAAACGCTACAAGTTTTTTTCCAGGAGGATTGAAAGAAATGAAACGATCGATAATTACGTCAAGGATTTACAAGTATGATAATTTTTAACATATGTGTATGTGTTAATAATGGTGTGATTCAGTAGAATTGTTAATTTTTTATTAAATCTTTTGTTTATGTGATATAAGCAGAATTAAATTTATTATCAATTATTATTGTTACAGAAACTGGCGAACAAATGCAACTTTGGGAACCAAAAAGAAAAATTCATTATTGACATGCTCATTCGTACAATGGACAAGCATTTGCGACAGATGACTTTCAACAAGGAGGGCATATGTTTGGAAGATATTATTGAAAGTATCAAGCAGGACACTGTGAACAACATGAGAATGAAAAAGTTATCAGAAAACATGACCAAAGATTTTAAATTGTACAAAAAAAAAGATGCAAACATCGAGAAAAATGCTTCAGATGAAGTTAAGTTATGTCCAAGATGTAATGTCAGACACCAGCCAGGGCCATGTCAAGTCAAAGACAATAGTAATGAGCAAACAAAGCGTATATGCATCAAGTGTGGAACCAATCATCCCTACAAACAGTGTCCGGCATTTCATAACACGTGCTGTAAATGCCACGAGAAAGGACACTCTGCAGCTCAATGTGAAATACTAAAAACAACAAGAAACAAAAAACGTTTGTTAAACGAGCAAAGCCATGCCCGCAGCTCTTCTCACAATCGAAAGGGGATTTCCCATTCGTCGCTAGCCCCGTCAGAACAAATGAGCAGACCTACCCATTTAAGTCATGGCTATTCCAATGCAACTCCAGCTCCTTCCAATGACGCTCCTCCAAGTTATTTTCAATCTGAGGCTGAATCAAGAAATCGCTTGTACCCATCATTGGTAGATCCTCAAAATGATCATAGAGTCTATCATCAAGCTTCTTACTGTCAATCATGTAAAAACAATCCTCTTGCGACCTGTTTTGTTTGCAAACGCTCAAGTACCAACGTTGGAAGAGCAAATGTAAGTTATACTGTTACACATTTACTTATAACTTCGAAATCTTTATTTTTTAGATTAGTTCANCTATTAGACAAAGTTGTTTGAAACGTTTAATTTCTCGCTGTAATAATGAGGAAAGGTAGAACATCATATTTAAAAGCCGCGCTATTTTTACTCTCTCCGCCACACATTTCTCTAGGTCTGGGGAATTTGGTGAAAAATGTGCTTGCTTGATTACTAATTTTTTTAATGATGATCTGTTGATTTCAGACCTCAACTTTGGGCAAAACATGGGGTAAATAATTATATTTAGCTTAATTTACCCAATAATGTTGTTATAGACATCCACATCAAATGCAAATACCGACAGATGCCGAGATGCGTTCGAGACTCGCTCGCACTCTCTCCCAGTCCTCGTGTCCATTGTAGAAGTATAGCTTATTATTGGGTTTCACCCAAGTATATGACTTCCGCCCCCCCCCCACACACACGCGCGCGCGCGCGCGCTCATATATATATTGTGAAGTTGTTTATTCGTGAGCACGGTTCGGAGTGCTCGTCGAGCGCGCGTCGAGTGTGGACGTATCCCCCCCTAGCGTGGCGAGTGTTCCGGTGTTTCCGAGCGCGAGCGTCGCAAGCGCACCAGGCTTAAATGCCGTTGTGGCAGCATCAATAGTAAATTACTACTCATAGAAAAAAGTATACATAATGAAAATAATAAATAAAATAAAAAACGTAAAAATTAAAAAAAAAATGTACATAAATACATAATAAGTATAAAAAATATATTTGAAGCACGAAAGAAACAAAAAGTATAAATAAAGATAGGGGCATTTAATAAGTGTGGAAATTCGAATTATCTTTCTTAGTGATTACNCGCTGCACTTATGTTCGCAGGCAAGTTGAATACCACAAGGCTCCGTACAGTACTTCAATAGTGCTTCGGACTTGGAAACTGGTGGGATAAGAAAACCATTTGGTTGGCGAATGTGAGATGTAATTGATTTTTAAACTTAAAAATAATATGGTACGTACAAGTATAGCGCAAGTAACATGGCACTGAAGATACGTGTCCGCAAAGACTTGGTTCCCGTAGTTTGACCAAAGTTTCACATTTCGTGGTAATCATGTAAAAACAATCCTCTTGCGACCTGTTTTGTTTGCAAACGCTCAAGTACCAACGTTGGAAGAGCAAATGTAAGTTATATTGTTACACATTTACTTATAACTTCGAAATCTTTATTTTTTAGATTAGTTCACGACTCGTGACAAAATAACTTTCAATACGTATCGCAAATTACCTTTCAAAGACGAGTGGGTCATAGTCTAATATTGTTAACAGGTGTTAGGCGAAGAAAGTTTCGTTAAAGTGGAACATACCTATATAAGTCAATACCGTTCACCAGCACCAGCACCAGCTCAAACATCACAGATAAAAAATCAACCATATCTACCGAGTTATGGGTCATATAATAATACAAAAAAGAAGAACGATGCCTGCTGTATTTCTTAAATATTACAAAATAATTTTATTGTTTTAAAAAAATGTATCAATACAACTGAAGATTAATTCTTAATAACATTACAGTAAATCGTGTTTTTACTTTGAAATAATCATTTAAATGTTACTCAACTTTCTACTTAAGGTTTAGATGACAATGTATTTTTTTGTATTTACTGCGTAATTTTTTTCTTTTATAAAAATCACATTTTGTAACAGTAGCAGTAAAAAACCAGTACTAAATAAAAGTTTTTAATGAAATAACGTAAAGTATCATTATTTTTTAATCCTAAATTTACAAAGGCTAGATAAGTTTATTATCAATGAAAACTAAAAGTTAACTTGCAATAATCATACATCCTTTGGATCATGAAAATGTTTAAATTGCTTTGCAATTAAATTGGAGAACCCAATTTTTTCNAATGGTAATTATAATAATTATATTATTACACACTATCACACACATTATCACAATGTATTAAGAAAACATCATTATCATTTTCATCATCAACATCATCATTATTGTTATCATCATTATCATCATCACCATCATCATCATTATCATTATTTTTCTCATCAAAATTCTCATCTGTACCTTTGTATTCATAACTTTTTTGGTTATCAGCATCATTATTATAATTATTCTTATCCTCATCACAATCACTTACGATGAAATAACCTTTATTATTAAAACCATCCTCATTATTATCATCTCTACAATCGTTTCCATTATAATTATCATTGTCATTATAATGTCATAATAATAACATTAAATAAATGGTAATTATTTTCAGAACTGTCATTATCAATATTATTATTACTTTTTGTATTATTATCATTGTCATAATTATTGATATCATCATTAACATCATTTTTATTCTCATTACTATCGTTATCATTATCAACATTCATATTTATCTTATCATTACTATTATAAATACCATTATAACTATCATTATTACTGTTTTTTTAATCATTATTGATAGTATTGTTATTGTCTGTATCATTCACAATTTTTATTATCATCAGCATAACTATTAGCAATATTTTAGGTATATTTATAGTCAATATAAATAGGATCATGATAATTATGATTTTTATAAAAATTATTGCTCTTTTCATGATTATTGTTATTATCGTCATAAGAACTGCTACTGTTTTTATTATCATCATTATCAAAATAATCATAAACCTATTATAATTATGATCAACATTGTTACGCTTACATCATTATCATCATTAATTTCATAATCAAGTTTGTCAGATTTTCGTCTGGTCCACCATCAGACATCAAAACCACGATAGGTCTTACTTCTTTATCAGTATCTAAGATTAAATAATTTATAATGCAAAATAAAATTGTTAAACTTAATTAGAGTGAGAAATTTTATGTGCAAATAATTATTTTCTTACAAAGTCGTTTATTAAAAGATTCCAAGTTTAACAATCTTCTAAAATCATAAGCGTGAGTTGCTGCTGTACTTATCGAGTGCTTGACACTGTGGATGGCAATGTAACTAGGCCCTGAGTGCGTTATAGTTTTGGATCACCAATTTTTCCCACCTGTGATATAAATGCCTGCATACACACTCAAAATAAGCTTATGACTTGGGGCTACAAACCATTCATGGTCTGGAAGACTTACTTTGTATTCTCAGTGCATTAGGATCAGTGCCTGTTTATTTGCAGCAGTGATACTAATTGGCACTATGCTTTCATTATCTTGCGATACAACAGCTACCTGACGAACACCCAGTACTGAGATTTATTGCTCTAATTATCTTGGTAGTGAATATTTTTATTAATTATTTATTTTTTAATATTAAATTATTATTA